AAAGGAATTTTGCCTTAGAAACATACATGCAAGGTAGCTCCAAGCAGCAGCTCACAGATTTTTCCACAATCAATGCTGTTTGAGTTGCTCACATGAGACAGCTTGTTTTATGTACAAGTGGAACTGTCCCAGTAGAGGCTGAGCAGTGCACTGGCAGAATATCCAAGCATTAGGATAAATAGTGCAGTGGAGAGTCGAGCTTATTTGAGCCTCACCTCTCTGTTAAGGTGAAAGAGCCATCCCTTATTGCAGGCACCTTCATCAAGTTGTTCACCTTCCGGAATTCCTCTGTCCTATGCTGCCCTGAGGAGGGAAATGACAAATTTTCCTTAGCAGTGATGCTTAGGACCTGTCTGCAAACATCTGGGGAGACTGTGGGGCCCATCTGGCTTCAAGTTCCTGGTTTTGATTGCACAAATAGTCTTGTTGCAGGTTATAAGCAATCAAAAAGTGTCGCAGGGTGAATACGTGGTCAGCCCTGTGATGCCAGCTTACTTGCCCGTTGCCTGCACACCAAAACAAAGGTCAGAAAGGTTAAGAATCCTTTTGTACCAACAGAGCTTGTCAACTCAGGGCTCCATCAGCTCTAAGTTTATGCCTGGAGGTACCAGTCTTGTACAAACCCAGAGTGAACACCAAGCACCTCAGAAGAAAGGGATCTCTGTATCAGAAACATGAACGACAAGGACAGTGAGAAAGCAAGGGATTGGGTTGGGATTTTTTTGGGCTGGAAGATAGTGTCCTTTATATTCAACCCCCTTTTTAGTCTTCAGATAAACCTAGATTTTTGTCCTTTCATGTTAAGCCACAGGTACTTTATTACAGGTCTATCAATCAGCTCTTTATGTGGGTTTTGCAAATCCTTTATCAGAGCAAATATGGATTTGAGTTTGCTTTTAAGCTGCCAGCCCCCCTGCAAGGCAGGCAGAGAGGACCTGACAGGAGAAGGTGCTTTGCTCCCCAGAGGTCTCAGTACATTCCAGTATGTCTGAACCCAGTCCCAGGAGCCTTGATCTTTGTGACTCCTTTGTGCCAGACTTGTCCAGCCTTCAGTCATAGGTGTGTGTCTCTGTATTCAAGTTTCTCTAACATCTAACCCACCCTTCCATCTCCTACTATGTGAGTCACCCGAGAATTCCTGTGCCAGAAAGGATGCTCTGGAAATAGTTTGTTTTCCCAACACTTGGCAAACCTGATTCATGACTATTCCTGTCACTTGGCTCACAGCTGTCTCCACCAACCCCTTTCCAAAAGGCATTGGGATTTCCTACATGTGATGTGCAGATTCCAGGGCCTCCCTGGAGTGTCTCATTCTCCCTCTCTCCACCCATTTCCTTTAAGATACACCCTACCAGGGGTCCAGGAACTTTTCAGGGGGGCACACTTAACCTGCCAGCTCAAATCTGATGTCCCCGTTTAGGTCCCCTCTCCTGGTCCTCACATACCATGCAGTGACAGGTCCTCAGACTGTACCCCTGAGGCCAGTATGTCACCCCTGTCTGCTAGCAGCTGGATGCAGAGCTAACCCAGCTGCAGGTGCTGGGAGTGCTTCTTCCAGCTTTCCCATAAGCCAAATTATCCATCCTAAACCCACTGACCAAAAGCAAATGCTGATGCCACAGGGCACAGAGCCCTGGGAAATTGATTTAATTCCTTCCTCTCAGTTTCCCAGTACCTGTATTTCAGTTGTTCCACTCAATGCTCTCATTGCTTACCTGCCACTCTCCTCAGCACTACAGTTTAATGGGAAAGAAGGACACCAGATGAGTAACAATTTTCTCCTCTTGAGACAGGTCAGAGGCCAGCTTTTGTAGCACAGGGCAATCAATGCTCAGCAAAGGTATGGAGGGGAACACCCAGAGACTAAACCACAACAGGTTTCTTTGAGTAACAAGCTGGAGCCTCTTGTTCCTGTATCAATTTCAGCCCCAGGAGCCTTCTCACCTTTCGCTGTTCTTAAGCATTACTTACTCAAGTGGTTTTATGCTCAACACATTATCTTAGTTTCAAATCCAGCTGAGCTCTAGAAAGGTTGATAGCTTTTATCAGCTTCAGTTACAAGGAAAGAAGATACAGATCTTTGGGCATCTTTTGGTGGAAACACTTGATACCTTTTGGGCAGGCTCCTACTGATGATCAGCTGGTTTTAATACAAGCCAAACCACCTTCCCTTCTTCATTTCTCAGCAGATCCCTGGTGGCTGTGCTCACTTTGCTGCCTTTGCAAAGCCTCTCCTTGACCCTCTCTAAAGAACTTGACCTGCAGAAACCCCCAAAGGGGTGGCTGGCTGTCCTGCCCTACACGGGGGGCCATCAGTGGGCTCTGGCTCTGAGGATCCTTCCCAAGGGGCTGTTAACTCCTGCTGAGAGGAGAAAAGCTGCCCTGCAGCAACCGCTGCTGCTAACCCGAGTGCAAAGTTTACTAAGGAAGTTGCCTTCAGAGGGGAAGAACTGCACACCTCAGCTGTGCTCGCCCATGTGCCAACCTCCCGTGGCTGTTACTGTTTCCTATCCAAATGGGGAACAGCCCCAGCACATCCTCAGCACTTCTCAGAAATTTCTGCTGGGGCAGAGTCAATTCCAGAGCTGCCACGCACCTTTGTGAGCCTCTATTTGTTGCAGAGGGGAGGCACCGAGAGTGCTACTTCAAAAATCACGGCTTCTTGAAGAAATTAGGTCCTGTTTTCGTCTCACCTCCCAGCGCCCTGTGCCGCTCAGGGCCACCCCGCCCTCCCGCAGCATCTCACACCGGTGGGGCTGGGCGAGTCACCCGCTCCCACCCGCACCAGCCC